TAGATTGTTTTGTCCCCTGGGACCTACCACTCCCTTACTTCCCACTGGTCCTGGCGGTCCAATATCTCCTTCCTCTCCTTGTGGACCTTCAATTCCAGGCAATCCCGGCGGACCCTCTTCTCCACTTGGTCCTTCATCTCCCGGCAGTCCTGGTTCTCCCTCACTTCCATCTCGTCCATCTCGTCCCGGTGGTCCGGGAATTCCTCGCATTGATCCTCCCGATCCGCAGGCCTAAAAATGAAATGTGCGCGTAATTTGCCATAAATTGCATTTCTAATTTAAAAATAATTCGTTGGAGAACTTACTTGGACCACGAAAACAGCGCAAATAGCCAATATTAAAGTATTAAAAAGATGCATTGTACTGATAATTTGAAATTGACTGCGTGCAGAATGGCTGAAATTCTTTAAATTTCACTTTGAACCCTAAAATCTGTGTTCTTTTCAAGTTTTTTAAAGAATGAAAAGAAAACTGAAATTGAGGATCCGTCAAAGGATTAATCATTAGCAGAAATTTTAGACGGATGGGACTTTTTCCTCATGTATGGTCCTTAATTTGTAAACAAATTGCGTTTGAATGAGAATCAAAAACTTCCATTTGAAAGTCCGTAATATTTTCAAAGAATAACCGCAATCAGTTGGTTAAAATATCGAGATTTGGCTGAGAAATTACAATTTTGAAAAATATGTGACAGAAGGTTTCAAGACTAAATGAAATTTGATGAAACAAATTTCAAGAAGAAATATTTTATTTATATTGACAAGTTGAATTGTGATATGAATACGGAATTCATAAAACAAAGAAACATTTCAAGAATTCTTTGTTTGTGGAATGGTCGTTTAGAATAGAACATTTAAATGATTATTGACGGTATCTATGAAAGCTAAACGAACCTTTTTTATGCGATAATTTGAAATGAACGGTTGATTGTTGGGAGATCGGCTGATAAGGTGATAAGAAATCTAGAAAAACAGATGGGAAAAATCTTTGAGAAACAGAATGATTTGGGGGCTTAATTTATGCTCATTATTTTAAGGT